GAAGTAGGTCAGAGTACAGGTGAAATAAGATTGTCCATATAGTAATAATTGTTGAAGCTGAGTAGTAAGTATGTTGAGTTTATTATACCATACTCATTATCTTTTTATCTATTTGAAAATTTCCTTATAAAGATTGAAAAGAATGTTGATCTGTGTTCAGGTGTTATCAGCTCAACCCCCCCCATTATACCTCTAGGATTTATGTTAATTATGTTAATGAACATTAGTAATTATGTTAATGCATTTAGTATCAATTGATAATCATTGACAAGATCCATTACTTATTAGGTTGCAAAATGGTGATTTTTTTTTTCTAATTCTGTCATTCCATTTCCATTTACTGGCTACAATTTATTGATAAAATGAAATTTACCTCAATAAATATCTAGTTACCCTGAAACAGAGTGTGTACAGAAAAGGCAGGAAAAATGCTTAATTTTTTTTAACCTTTATTTAGTACTTTTTAGAGTAGCAGTTTGATGACCTAGCAATCTCCATTTGTAACAAATAACTAGGGTAAATATCATTGTAAATTCTTTGATTTTTATGTGCTTTATGTTTAAACCAAATGCTAGTCACTATTATTTTTGATGAGCAAATTATCATCTTAATTCAGAGCAAGCCCCTTTGATTTGACTTTGGATTCTTTTAATATGACCCCATTTTCTCCCTTACTTGTAATTCCAAGTTGTCTCTGGCTCATCTTGAACTTTTCCTGCCCCAGGCCTGAAAAAGTCATTTCTATAAGGAACTATCATTCTCTATGTAAGCAAAATATTTAGAGGCCATTGTCTGAGCTCTGGGGATTTTCTCATTGCTCATTTCTGTTAGGTTCATACCTTCTAGACCTTTTCAATAGATAAAGCTAGCTTTTATGTAGAGTTTGAAATAAAAATATAAATTATGAGTTCTTATATTTTCTAATCAAATTCAAGATGGTAGAGTTTTAGTTATCTGCTTTGATATTATACTTATATTTCTTGTTCCTTATATTGAACACCTTGGTATTTACTAATTATTTAAATTTTATTTATTATTTACTAATTAAATATTTAATCATTTAAATAAATATTTATTATTAAATAATTAAATAAAATTTAATTATTTAATCCATATATATATAATATTTTCATTTTAACAGTGCTAATATAGCTGCTAATATTAAGATTACTGATTGCAGTTAAAATTTTTTTGAAGTCATTTTTGCTTTGATTTTGACTTTAAATGTTATCTCACTAGGTGTTTATAGTCAAAATACTTCATTTAAAAGTAGTCTGAAAATTTGCTTTCCCTCTGATGTTTATGCAACCAATTTATGTATAGTTAGATTTACATTTTTCAGTTTGCTTTCCAATGTTAGGGATGGTGTTCTATTTTCTTTTTGGATTTTTAAAAATTATGTTAAATATATTATGGTTCCAAATTTAAAACAAAGTACCTTCAGAGAAGGCTAGTTTTTAAACCTAGCCCACACCCTCTTTCCTCCCTCTCATTTTATGTAATCATGTTGTTTTCTATGCATAGATATTAATAGGGAAATCTTGGTGAAATTAAATATACTGGCAAAGGATTCCCCTACAGTAAGTATATAAGAAGTGTTCATGATAAAGAAGTAGAGTTAGATATCATCAGTCTAAAAACTGTACCAACAACATGACAAACTACATTTCTCAAGGTAGCAGGCAAACTGAAAATGTAATAAACTAAAACTATAATCCCAAGGCATATCTAGTATGTCAACAAGACAGAGAACAATACTGAATCTGAATCTCTGTGTAGATACCAGGTGAATTAAAACAAAGAAGAGAGCTGAAGTTATTATAATGCTACAGATTTAAATACAGTTGACCCTTGAACAGCATGAGGTGAACCGCTAACCCCTGTGCAGTAGAAAATCTGGTTATAACTTTACGGTTGGCCCTCCATATCTGTGGTTCTGCATCCTCGGATTCAACCAACCATGGGGTCATGTAGTATTAATTGAAAAAAAAATCCATATACAAGTGGACCCACACAGTTCAAACCTGCGCTGTTCAATGGTCAACTGTAGCACCCTTAATGCCTCAGAAAAACTGTAATATGGTATATTAAATACTGGGTGTCAATATAAGAGAAATGAGAAAACTCACAACACTGAAGTACAAGATGGCTAACCCAAGACGTTTAACTGTCCAGAAATCTTTGGAAAATTCTTACTGTGTTTTAATAAACTGGGTAGACAATTATCAAAAATGGCAAATTTTTAAAGAGTTGGCTGATGTTTGCCATGCTAAACATTGTAACTTAAGGGGAGAAAATACTTCTTAGTCTCAATAAGGGAGATAATTTTAGTATTTTTACTTAATATTATTGTTAAGAATACTAACTTCCAGTTGCAAATAAATGAATCAGGGGTTTAAAATGTACAGTGTGTGTGTGGGGGGGGCGGGTGGCTTCCCTGGTGGCGCAGTGGTTGAGAGTCCGCCTGCCGATGCAGGGGACATGGGTTCATGCCCCGGTCCGGGAGGATTCCACATGCCGCGGAGCGGCTGGGCCCGTGAGCCATGGCCGCTGAGCCTGCGCGTCCGGAGCCTGTGCTCCGCAACGGGAGAGGCCACAGCAATGAGAGGCCCGCGTACCGCAAAAAAAAAAAAAAAGTACAGTGTGGGGAATATAGTCAATAACTATGTAATATCTTTGTATGGTGACATATTGTAACTAGACTTATTGTGGTTATCACTAAAAATATATATAGAAATACCAGATCACTATGTTGTGTAAACAGGAACTAGAATGGTGTTGTAGGTCAGTTATGCTTCACAATCAAACAAAACAGCATATTCATGGAAAAAGAGATCAAATTTGTGGCTACCAGAGGTGCAGGGTGAAGGGAGGGGGAAGTGGAGGAAGGCCGTCAAAAGGTACCAACTTCCAGTAATAAGATAAATAAGTACTTGTGATGTAATGTACAACATGATAAATATAATTAACACTGCTTTATGTTATATATGAAAGTTACTAAGATAGTAAATCGTAAGAGTTCTCATCACAGGAAGTTGCAAGATATTAAAATAAAAATCAGCATGAGTCTGGAGTACTTGTTAGGGAGTTAATTTTAAGCATGTAAGAAAAAAGAGATAAATATTAGATTAGAGTGGGAAGATACATTGATATAGATGTGCTCTCCTGGGATTTGGAATTTATTATGTTGATTTGACTTGAGCATCTGGCATTGGCCTTAACAGTCTTTTATATTGCTTAATTAAAGCCTGGATTTAACAATGGTCTAAAATCAATGAGGTTGCAATTCTGGCGTGTTCCTGGCATATTTTAGGCTCAGGAAGAAGGGAATACTGGAGTGAATTTATGATGACCCACTCAGCCTCCCCTTAAGCATTTCTCAGATGAGACCAAGAGAACTCTTCTGGCATCCTTGCTGTCCTCTGTAGACAGGGGATAATTGTGGAAGGCACCACAATGAAATGGGATTCTGTGGTTTCTGTGGAAGTAATGGGATCACTGAGTGGGAGAGGCCAAATCATGGCTCTCAACCGTTAAAGAAAAAGCATATACAATGACCCTATAAACTACAGAGATGGAATAGTAAACAGGGATCTATTACATTGTCTAATTAATAGTGTCATTAGGGACAAAACAGGTAGCCTACTAAATTATTACTTGGCAAATATAAAGAGAAAAATTGCCTGATAAACAAAAACCTGATACAAATAACATGTGGGTATTCACAGTTTCTTATCCCGGTCTCTATCCTACCTTTGTCTTGCATAAATTCACTGATGGGAAATTATCTCTATGAAGTGGTCCATTCCATTTTTATAATATAGTCATAATTTCTACCTTTTGGTTCTTGTTCTCTCCAGAGCCTCACACAAAGAATCTATCTCTAGACTACCGAATAGTTCTTCAAATAATTGAAGACAGTTTTATGTTCCATTCTATCCTCAACGTTTTAAGTTCCTTCACTATTCTGGCTGTCACTTAGGTGCATTCCAGTTTGTTAATGACAATGTCTTGAGTCCTTCCATTGTGTGAGTTGAAGCCCAGAAGTTGGTCAGAATTATGACCACCAGGCTTACTGGTTACAGTGGTTCTAATAAAGCAGCCTAAGATTGAAATAGCTCTATTGCCTACTTCCTGAAAAGTTGAATTTAAAAAATAAAATGTAATATTAAAAGTTCTGGAAAGCATGGAATAAACAGTTGTTTTAAAATGTATGTTTATGACAAATCCTTTACAAAGTTCCCTCCTCAAACCCATATCATTCCCCTACTAGTTAAAATATGTCAGAAACTCCTTCTTGAAATGGACTTCCGGCATATAGTCGTGGATTTAATAGTCTCATTGGTGTAAAATTGCTTTATGCTCATGGTTCATTTCAAGCTGAGGTATAGACAGAGAAAACATGGTGAATATTTAGGTCAGAATAAACTTTATACAATAAATGATATATTTTACCCACCAGAACTTCCTTTGCTTCACGTGACATGCTCAGTTTTCACAGGACTAAAACTTCTGCCTTTTCAAAGGACACTAATATGTGCTAACCTAGATAAAATCAAGGTTGATTTTAAAATAGATCTAGAATTAGTACACTTATAAGAGAGCTTGCCATAATTCCAGTCTATGTCATTCCTCCACCAGCTTTACGGGAGAAAGGAGAAACAAGGTGTATATACCTGCTGGAGATATTTTGCAAGTTAAGTATCTATTTCAGAGCATATTAGGGCTAGATAACTTTGCACAGAATTTGGTCAACCATACGCAGCTAAAGTTCTTCTACTGGATTCCATTGATTAGACATTTGGAGACCAGTGAAATACTTGAAATCAAATACGTAGTTTTCACGATAAATGTACATGTGCATTTGTCTAAAAAAAATCCTCAGATTTGTCAGATTTTCAAAGTGGTCCACAAAATACACTTCCCAAAAGATTAAATGGCTTGGGTGGATAAATGTGATGTGTGATATATTCAGAAACTGATAGTCTTTGTTTTTAAAATTAGGGTTTTTGAAGGAGATACTGGAACTTCCAAGTGGGATATTCATGAGTGGAGGGACGTAAACTCCAGGTGGCAGGTACAGTTCAGCTTTGGCTCTGTTTGATTGGAATAGAACACTGTAGATATTAGTTCCTTTTTGAAAGAAAATGTTTCATTGTAGAATAGTATTCTATTTTTTAATGTGGTTATATTGCATTTATAAAGAAACCAAGATTGAAGCAAAATAAAACTGTTGATAAATTGGTGTGATTAAATAATACTGGAGAGAAAATCGGCAAATATCCTAGTCGGTGGGACTTATCAAGGACCTGATTATTTCTGTCTGAGTTTAATTTACATAGTTGTTAAGACAAAACTCACCTTTCTTGAAAATACATAAGACTATGTTTGTGGGGGGAGGAGTAAAACCTGTGGGCTATCATTTGAAAAACTTTTTGATCTTTGCCCTGCAAAATAATTTTGAGTAATACGTACCTTATTCATTTATGGTTAGAAATTAAAGTGTTCCAATGTAATCAGCTAGACTTTAAGCATAGTTTTGCTAAGAAACTACTAAGAAACTACTTGTCATATTCTATATCTTGTTAATCAAGCTATTGTTTTATATCTGTGTCTTCCAAACTTTAGTATCCACAAGAAACACAGAGGAACCATGTTAAAATGCAAATTCTGATTCAGTAGTTCTGGAGGGGGACTTTTTTAAACAAGCTCTCAGGAGAGGCCAATATTGCTGGTCTCTGGATCAAACATTAAGCAAAGCTCTATGTCATATGCTTATTGTGTTTCTTCAATATATTATGCAATTAAAATATTTTCAATTTCATATGAGTCTTATTTTTATAGAGTACATTCATTAGACAGAATTGAACTAAAAAAAATCATTAAATATCTCTATATGAAAGAAATAACAGTTTATATCTGAAGTAATATTAAAACATCATGCTAAAAATAAAAATGTTTTATGTTAGAACCTTTTAAAAATTGATTTTATGTGATGAATCCAGAGCTGTATAAAGGATCTATGGTTAGTATCATTGTCATAGATGCTCTAGTTCCGTTTTTAGGGGATATTTTTACATAGTTTATGAGACTAGAAAACCGAAAATTCTTACTAGCAATTTCTCTGTCATTTATTTGAATGATGAGATAGCTTCTGGCAATAGTGATTTTAGAGTGTGATTTAAAAGTACACACACACACACACACACACACACCCTACATCCTGCATTCAAAATCCAATGTTTACATGTAAAACTGAGAAGGATGAACCTAGTTTAAATCTGCAATCAGCACCTAGTTGACCTGCTGAGAATTGGCAGTGTTTTGAACCACTATGTGGCTTGTTTCCTAATGTACAGTAAATGTCTTTTAAAATGAAGGCGTGTGTGCTTTTTGACTTTGGCAAGAAGGACAAAACAGGAGCATAATGAACTGTAAATTTTAGTGTATTTATGAGTACTTACAGCTCACCGTAAAGTTTTACTTTCTGTGTTTTCTAATATTTCCTTCAAACTTGGCTCGGGCAGTAAGTTCAGTATGTTTGACCTTCTGACTAGAACAGCAACATCAGGTCCACGTTAGCCCGCAAATGTTTTATTCTGTGGAGAAACTTGCAGCGTGAGGAAGGCTGGAATGATTCCTAATACAACACGCAGCTGGCGCTACTTTTAGGCAGAAGTTTGCGTTTCTTTTTAATTTGTTTTATTTTTTTAAGATAGAATTAATGATTAGCCTTATTAGTAATAACATTAATTAGAAAAATGCAGCTGCCTTGGTCTTTCCAATGTGCATTATCATTTGTCCATACGGGAGCTTTTGAATGTGAAGATCCCTTTGAATGTAAAGGGAGAGGTAACTAGCTAGCCTTCTGCCTATACTTGGGATTATTTACAAACTGCAGATTTGAATCTCTGGACCTACTTGACTTGTACCAGTAGGGGGATGATTGCCCAAGTTAACTGTGTTAGGTTTGCTCCAAAGAAGAGGAAATGGTGTTGATTGACGATGAAGCCTCTGCCACTTCGATTGTGGCCTAGTACTTTCTATAAGATGTGTCTCTGCTATTATAGCTTGTTTCCCTTCATACCGCCTCAAAGTGCACGCAGTGGGATAAGAGGAGAAACTGTGAGGGAGGCCTCCTCAGCTGGAGCAGGTCCTGCAGGCCCACTGGTGGGCGGAGGCCTGCTGGGGTGTCAGGGAAAGGTTGACTCTGGGGACCAAGGCTGTCACTCAAAGAGTCCCTACTAAATGGCAGTGCACAGGGGGCAGAGTGTACGTTGGAATAAGTACTCTTATTTTCATGTAAGAGAATAAAAAGTGTTTACAATTGTGTTCATCCAGATGAAGTATTTAAGGCCTCTTTTTTCCTCCTTTCACTGTTTTTTCCTTAATCACCTCATTAATTTGTAGTTTGGCTTAAAATAGCTAGTGGGCTGGAACTATATGGCTCATTTATTCTACTTTACTTTATTTACTTTTTCAAAGTAAAATGGATAAAATCAATTAATAAATTTAAGCCCATTTACTATAATTTAGAGAGTTGCTAAATAATACATCTTCCTTTCTTCACTGAAGTGCTCTAAGGTAATTCATCTGTGAGAGTAAGGCAACCCCTTTCTTGAGATATTTTTAAGGAAACGGCAGATTGCTATCATTCTGAGGTTTAAGTTCAGTTCTGCCCAGACCCAGGATACAGGCTAAACAGCCTGCACAGGGATTCTAGCATGTGCTCACAGAGAAATACTTCATCACTCACTTGTGTTACTTGTATGAAAAGCATAAATAAATAAATAATATTCTGATTCTCTTCCACCTGGGTTTAGCGTTAGCTCTTATTTCTAAAAGTGATATATACTAATGATGTGTTCGTTTTTTAAAACTAAATACTGTAGAGAGAATGGCAAAACCACTCTTCAGCACCAATTTGGAAAGCATTATGATTGAGAATAGTGTACTAACACGCAGGCACAATCTCTGAGATATTGTCAAGTATGTTAGGATGAGTAAAGTTATGTCTTGTGGGAAGGGTGGAGAAGATCTGGATCAAGCTGGAGGGGGCAGGAGAGGGAGAAGGAAAGACTTTTTCAATGGCCTAGAGAAAGAGATCTTTAGACCTGCCTGAGGCCAGGTAAACTGCTGACTATAATAACCCACCAATGTAGGCACAGGTGGTTTTCCTGGTTACAAAAAAAAGACTCAGAAAATGCCTTCAGGAACACAGCTCCTTCAGTATCTGGTAGCGATGAGAATGCACACAGGGGTGTCAGGGGTACTGAGGGGCATAAGAAAGGTGGGTAGACTGATGTCTGGGACAGTTAATGCTCCATAAACATTAGATGTAATTGAGGTACACACATACAGACACACACACACACACACACACACACACACGCCATGAGACGTATGGGTATATGTCAACTGTTTATGGAAGGAATGGTAAAAGAAATAGAGCTATGAAAGAAATGGGTACAACTTTCGTAAGGCTAAAAATATTTTTCTTTTTTCTTCTCTTAGTTTTTAATTAAGTAACTATTTGCTCATTGTGGAAAAGTAGATGGCTATTTTTGTCACGCATAACTGTATTACAACTTTATTCTTCATAGTGTATGAATTTAACAAGGTTGACTTTTTTAGATGTATATCTACACCTTTATATCTTCACTAAGGAATCTAATAGCATAAACATAAGTGCTATAACAAATATCCAGTGAAAGATATTTTAAAGTTTCTCTTAAAAATCTGTGTTAATGACCTGATAATGCTTTGTTATGGCTTTCGGGAAATGTGTGAAGTGTTCTGACAGTATGTCAACAAAGTGTCAGATATGGTGAGAGAGAAGCTAAGAACTGGAATCATAGTGTCATGAAGTGTTAAAGCTGGAAGGGACCTTAGACCCCCTTCATGTTGGAAGTGATGGGGCTGAAGCCCAGGAGGATTAAGCGATTTGTTCAAGGTCACATCTAGAGCAAGAAAGGCCCAAGGAGTAGAACCTGGGTCCCCTGGCTCCCAGTCCTATGCCCTGTTAGGTTTGCAATTTTGCTCTTGACTATATTAATTGTTTTGTTTTGTACAAAATGAAACACAGATTGCAGAAATGGAGTCAGTTGTTTTTGGAATCTGAGTCATTTTAAAGGTCACCCCATCTCTCATAAGTCAGAGTACATAGCTATCTATCCCCAATCATTTATTTAAGCATTTTTTCCACATGTAACTCTTGGAGATATTAATTTCCCTGACAGTGCAAAGCAGTAGCTGTAGTTTTGAATAATACAGTCATTTCTCACTTTAAATCTACTTTTCACTGAAGGAAGCATTCTTGCTTTTTAATAATTATGTCCTTTCTTTTTGCCCCACTATATCCTGTCAGCCAAATGAATAAAAATCATTACCACAAGTACATACACACAATCATACATACACACACACATCACACATGGAGCTCTTGACAGATTTCAGAGCACTTTTGTATATGAATTCTTGCTATAATTGCAAATTAGTTACTTGGATGCTCTCAAAAGCCCATTTTATAGATGAGAAAATAGAGTCAGGGAGTTGTGATTTTTCAAAGTAAAGGTGGAAACTAAGTCGTTTATTTTCGAAATATGTTCCCTTTCAATATACATACACATAATGGACCATACATCTTTAATGGATTAATAAGGTAAATGAGATTATTTCAGAGTATACTGTAATTTTTTAGGATCAACATAAAGGAGGATTAAAATAATTTCTACATACTTCTCATTAATAAGGACTGATACTATTAGAAAATCTAAACCTTGACTAATTTTTGATGTTTTAAAATCTAATATTTTAAATTCTGAATCTGCTTTGAAAGATCAAATAGATTTTCCATATTTCAAAATTGATTTTAGTCATATATGTTCAGAGAATATATTTTATTTATAATCACGGTATCTATTTTTAATTTAGACTGATCTCCAGTTAGTTTCCATCACTTTCACTCTATTTTGCTTCTTTGCTTTTCCTCCTTAAGCCACTTAAAGAGTTAACTTATACCAACATATTGTTAACCAATACCAGTTATATTGGACAATGTAAATAACCAGTCCTGGG